CTGATGTAATGGTTGGGACCATCTAGGATATGATCGCAAACTGCAGACTTCCCGGAACGTTGATGCTTCTCGTCAGCTATGTGTTCTTTTATGCGGGTTCTAATTGATTTCTTTGTTTGCCCCATATATGAGAGACCACAATCACAATCAAGCTTGTACACTCCTGCATCTTGTACAGGAATATGACACTTGACGGATGGTAAGAACTGACTAATCTTCTTTGGCGGCTTGTAAAATTTTCTAATAGAAGCTTGCTTCAAGATGTAGCCAATCTTGTCTGTGACACCTCTGACATATGGTAGTACAGCAGGCACACGCTCGACTGTGGCCGTCTTCACTTGGTCACTGTGACGGAGGCGCGGGACCTGAAGCTTGTTGTCGTGCAGAACCTGCTTGACGTGCTGAAGCTCGGCGGCCAGGTGTTTGCTGTCACATATCCCTCGTGCTCTCTGTAACAATGATTTGCCCACGGTAACTAACTGTGAAGTATGATGGTGAGATTCACCATTTAAGTATCGGTTTGTATGGGTCTGGTGTTGTTAGGATTTCGGATGACTAACACATCTAGCAAAGCTAAGAAATTATTTGCCTTTAACTAGTGTCTGTTTTGAACTTACGGTATGTACTTTTATCCGACAAAAGTTGTTGTTTTTTAAAATTATAATCCGACGTATCCATTACAACCTTCGCATATCTGCGCGGAGATTCTGGTCTGTTGCGTAAGGTTTTTAACGCGTTAAATTCATTTTTGGGAAGATTTAATTTCGGCGCTGTACTTCGACGTAACATAGACGAAATGTCTTGGCGTATGGCCTCTAAATCTTCATCGTTTTTATCAATTCATAGTCTTAATCAACGTATAGTGTTCGCGTAAATATAAGAAATCATTATATAAATTCTATCAATTATATCCATATGGGGGACTCTACTCTTACTTAAAGGATTTAGGATCTTGAGTCTAATGGCAGCTAAAGTTGCTTCTTTTTGTATATGTAGATGAAGCGGTGTTAGCTCCAGCATAGCCTCCAAAGCTGCTGTTGGTGTAGTCCTTATGCAGCCCGTGGCAGCCATACAAGCCAATCTCTGCTAACGCTGAAGCTTTCGTATAGTGGTGGCTTCATTGGTTTTGGTCCGCCATACCAGAGAGCCGTATGTGATCATGGTCCGAATTACAGTTTTGTACAGCCACAGGATAATTTTTGGCGTCAAACCCCATCGTTTGCCAATCATATTTCTGTATTGCCAGAAAGTTAAACTAGCTTTGCTGATTTTGTTTTCTATGTGTTTATTCCAGTTAAGTTTACTGCCCAAGGTAAGACCTAGGTATTTTATCTCGAAGTAAACCACAAAAATTGCTACTGACGTAACAATTACTGATTATAATGATACTCCAAAAGGTACAGCAGTAACGTCTATTTATAAAGTGGTATATTTTATTACCATTTCATATTCATTTTATATACATACATATATATAAAGTTCAAGTTAATAACGAAGGTATAAAAAGCGAGTCAGTAAATATTTTACCGTTTCTGTAGCGTTGTACTCAACTTTTCAACTTCTAAACTCAACTTCAGTTTCATGTGCTTTACAATAATGGTCACGAGATGAATCGAAGTTCTGAAGCTACAGGCTTAAAAAATATTTTATTTAAATATATATATATATTTTTTAAAAAAAAAAAAAAAAAAAAGTTTGTTTTTAAAAAATTTTTATGTATGAAAAAAAAAAAAATAATAAATAATGAGGAGAATATAAGTATTTATTTACTTATTGGAAGGTCTCAACATTGTTATATAAATGCATGAGAGAATGAAGTGAACAAACATTATTTTTATCTAGTTTATAAATGTGATGAAGTTGTTGGGTATGCAGATGACATCATAGTCAAGGGGAGTTTCATTGCCAGTGCAAAAGACGGAGTCAATACCTTCACATAGAGAGGCCATGGTAGAATGGATAAATGCGACCTTAAGTCTTGTTTTCTAATGGGGTAACGACAATCCGATCACTTTTAAACCCGCCAAAGCGCAGGCCTGTCTGTTCTTCGCAAAATAGAGTTCGTTTGATCTGACTCCCACTTTCCGAGGCACATGTTACTAGTTATCTTAGACTTTTCAGTATAAAGTTGAGTGCTAACCTCAATTTTGACACTTACATTGAGTCGAAAGCACAAACTGCGGCCTAAGGACTGGGTATTTTGGGTATTTTATATTTATTTTATGCAAGGTGACGTGCGATACCTTACGCCCGTATAGCTTAAGAAGCTAGCTTCTTACTTTATATAAAGCTCAAGTCCGAATATGCATGGATAATTGTTGTCACCTTTGGGGTGGCTCAGCAAAATACCAACTTGCCACACTCAACTCAGTGCAGCGCAAAGCAAAGGGGCTTATATGCAACAGAAATCTGGTTGAAACCAAGTTTCACAGCTTAGCCCACCACCACCAAGTTGCTTGTTTGTCGATCTTCTACTGATTGTACTTCGGAGAGTGTGTCCATAAGCTTCATAAACTCTTACCGTACTTGACGTACTACAGGTTACCATCTACACTTGTTTGATATTTCGAATATTCGACTTAGCGCTAGAAGTCATCTTTCATAATGCACACAGCCAAGGAGTGAAATGCTCTGCCGGCATCTGTTTTTTCATTTGCATATAACCTTAACCTCTTCAAGTTGCATACTATCAGGCTTCTTCTGCGCAAACTTGCTCCATCGTAGACCTCATCTTAGCCTTCTTGCCAGATGGAGATCAAAAGTAAAAAAGTAAAGTTACAGCCTATATACGTCCCACTGCTGGGCACAGGCCTCCTCTCATTTCTGAGAGGGTTTTAGGGCAAGTAAATGTCCGCCCCGCTGCCCCAGTACGTGTTGGCGAACTTCACATGTCTTCGAAATATTTTTTTCTCTTATTTCTCAGACATGAAGGAAAACATCCTCACGATGTTTTCCTTCACCGCCGAACACGTGGTAAATCAGTACTTAAAATTGCAATTAACAATTTTATTGGTGCCGGCGGGGATCAAGAGTGAGCCCGTTTAAAAGAAAATACAACAGGAGATCCCACTTCAAATCTCATAATTACATCAGGAAAGGTAATTTGTTAAAACTAGTAAAATTGTAAGAGCAGATGTTTGGGGAACTTGCTTTTGATCTTTGATTATCAGTAAAAAAACAGACTATACATTCAATATAGCGGTACAGGTAATATATCCCTGTAACAATCACAAACCGGTGTAACGTAAAGGACATAATTACAAGATATAACCATGCAAACCAAGCCTCTCAGCAACACCATTTTTCTTACCTGCATCAGAAGAACCACTACAACGGAGAGAACTACGGTGTAATCTTAGCAATACTTCTACGTAGAATACTTTGAGGGAATCTCTCACGCCGCGCCTGCAATGGTCTTATACTGCACAAATTATTAAAATATTAATTAATAATTTATTTAAAAAATATTCCTCGTATCTCCTTAGTTTCAAGGCACTCCCCCTGTTGCCTCAGCCAGTATCGAATCCTTGGCGTCGACATATCGAGCGACGTGCAGTTTCGTGGTCACTTAGAAGAGAATGCCAAATTGGCCTCTTAAAAGCTTGGCGTGCTCAGCAAAGCGGGTCAGTATTTCATACCAGCTCAGCGCCTGCAACTTTACTAGGTGCAGGTTCAGCCGCACATGGAATACTGTTCCCATCACTAAGCTGACGCTCCGCAGTGCCAGCTCCTTCCATTTAATCGCATCTAGCGCAGAGCTGTTCGAATTGTCGGCGACCGACCTCTTTCCGATCGGCTTGACTCATGGACACTGCGAAGACATGTTGCATCTCTTTGAGTATTTTATCGCATCTACCACTAGAAGTGCTCTGAGGAATTGTTCGGACTAATTCCAACCGTACAATTTCACCATCGCACATCGCGACAAAACTCGCGATACCATCCATACCATCTTTATGACTGGCGGGCCACCACTTTTCGATTTGAAAAAAGTTTTCTTCCTCGCACCACTTCCCCGTATAATCGACTACTACCAGAGATTTGTCGGACCGATACGACTTAGGAACCTTCAAGAAAAGTGCCTATTCCTTTTTAAAAGGCGGGCAACTGCGAAAAAAGGCGCATCTGCAACTCTCCCGCTGTGTATGCTTGTCGTCTCTTCTATAAAATAAAACAAACGAGTGGGGGGTTTTCACCCTAAATTTCACTTCTCAACCATCGATATGTCGCGTCGTTAGAGTGACGCAACCTCTCGAGATTAATCTCGATCCAACCGGTATTTTATAGAAGCGCCTACAAACTTATTTTTCCGTTCTGGTTGAGCTGCATGAACACCCAACAAAAATTATAAATAAAGATTAAATATAGTAAAACATGTAAATAATTAAAACCATTCGTAGAACTGCACGACAGATTTGGTTGACTGAACAACTCATCGCGATATTTCTAAAACTATACACCTGATTGACTCGAAATTTAGCATAGTTGCTTATTTTAAAATTTAGACGCTCACAAAAACGGATTTTACGATAGTCCTATAAAACATTTATCTCTCGGTATTTTATTTCTACGTGATTATCGTCTATTAACGTGCGTACAGCAAAAAAGCGGTATATATATAGTAATAAATTTTAATTTATTGCGCTGTTTTACGTGAAAAAGAATGAAGACGAAGAAAGACCAAACGGCCGAGAGTTAGGGGTAAACGGAAAGAAACCGGCGGAAGATGCGGGCGGTATCGAGGAACACCGCCATCAGCATTTGAGCCCGGAGAGTTACTTATTATTATTATTAAAAATAATTACATTACTCTATCACAAATCATTGATGCACGCAACAAAATAAAAAAAAACTAAGAAGTAAATTAAAAAAATATCATAATATCTTGTGTCATAAACCTGCACAAAATCATATAAAGACGAATTGTAAAAGAAGTGCTTCATTTTAATCAAGTCGCTCTTCAGAGGTGCTTGTTTAAATTGTTTATTTGCAATTAACAGTGATAATATCCATACAATTTTGTGTGCATTGTGGTAAGGTGTGTATTGGAAATCCTTAAATTAAAACTGTAAGATAAATGATTTACCTTATAATTTACTAATGATCGTTATAAATAACTATAAAATTTGAAGTAATTATGAACGACGAAAGATATAAACCAGGCCATTAATTAAGGCTTTTTCCTCTTATTTTTATTTTTTTATTAATTTAAACGAAGTAGAACGAAGATGGTGTCTTATCTTTTTGTCGAATGTGTGTGTGTTAAATACTATTCTTTTGTTGGATAGTAACCATTTACTTGCATAATAATAAAAATGAATATCTATATTTATTACCATGATAAAAAACTGAAATTCTTATTTAAATAAATTCAAATTTAAATTGAAAACAAAAACAAATTGAAATTGAACGAAACTAATATTATACAGTTGTGATTTTGATTTTGAAATTATATTAAAATGTATGTTTTACATTTAACATATTAAACAATAATATTTACATAACATTTTCGTTTATTTAACAATTGATTATTATGATTTGTAAAAGTCGAAATGTGCCTCATGAGCGTTTCATTTAATTTTTATGAAAAACATACATTGTATTCCTGACTTTTAAAATATATTATTTCGTGTTCTTAACTTTTTCGCTCTAATATTTTAACAGGCAGTGTTACCTACAGAGATCATAATAATAACATTTACCAAAATAAATTGATTACAAAAAGTATTGAATCGATATAGGCTGTGTGGTACTAATTGTCTACTGTATATAACAAGAACTAACAAAAATATGTAAGCGCCTTCAAAATTTTAATAGCAATAAAACTTATAAAAGTTGAAAATCGTTTAATTACCAACCATGTGTACTAGGCTATTGATATGAAATTGGAATGGAATGTAATTTTGAAGCTAATAAAAAACTCGGTCTCGATACGCCAATATAAAACACTCACTACAGGGCCCGTGATTCGCAAGCCTGAACAGTTTTCACTCAAAGTTTACCCTATCAGCACATCATATTACAACACAGTGGTTAGGATGTGTCGCCTCTAAAATGATATATCGCAGGACTATCCAAATATTGATATTCTATGGTCTTCAATAGATCTCACTGCATTATGTTTCTACTTACTTTTGTTCTAGCTTTAAATCTGTAACAGGCCTCTTGAATTCTGGATGGGTGATTGCAAAAACCACTGTTTATTAAATTATTTATAACTTTAGTGGATGTAACTCATTATAATGTACTTCATAAATACATGTTTTGGCTTACAGTTTAGTACTTAATTATTTAATGTTAAGAAACTTTTATCTCCACAACTGTAAACTGTATTGCCCAGCACCGTTAATAAATAAAAATAAATTGTTTTGGTAGTTAACGTGACCACGTACATAATCAACATTCGGAAGTCCACGTAAATTATTGTAAACCTTTTTTTCCCGAAACATTACAAAATGATATTTTAGAAAATATAAGGTAGATTAATTGGAATGTTTTCTTGATATACGGCTATATTATCGTTTAAGTGCAATATGGTTATTCAATATAGTTTATAATTAATACGTTTTGAAACTCAATTTTAAAATTACCACTAGTTTGGAAACCTCAGTCCTGGGAAGAACCAGCGAGGAATCCAGCGGGACTTTACAAAAAATAACGGCTTACAATCATGTATGTCATAATTAAAAAGATAAGACAAATTAGAAATAGCTTGGTAGAGAGTTCCCAGGGGTTATTATTATCCATAAACTCCTTAATATATTATTATAATCCTTATTATACGAATTTACTTTAATAAGGTTTTTAAACTTTATGCGGGTCAAATTTTGTTTATTTTCTGGAATTTTTTGTAAAAGCGTATACATGGCCTCAAGAATGACTACTGACTCGTTGAAGTCGAGTATTTACGGAGTGAATATTTCTTATTTTTGTAAAACTAGTTTTATTTTTGTGTACGTACATAACATTTTCATAAATGTATTGAGAGGGCAAATTTACTATATTAATTTATTTAAATTTTTATCTGAGTACATCTTGAGGTTTTAAATCATAGATTGCAGTAATTTCCATGTTTCCTAAAACAAATATAATTTCAGTGTTAGTCGCGTGTCCCGTAGCAAAATACCATATGACATTATGCTATAGAAATAGCTAAATTAAACTAGTCTAGCTGTTTAAACACTGGTAAGAATTTAAAAAAGATCATCAAATTTAACAAGATCAGGAGCTTTTTACAGCATATGCTGCAGAACTATCTCTTTGCAGACCTTCACAAGTTTACAGATGAGCATCGGTCTAAAATAAACATTAGAAACGAAACAATTACGAAAATATTGTGTAAATTTTAATCGGCAAATTTTATTAAAAAGCAGTATTAACATTTCAAGTAAATAATTGTAATTGTTACTTTAACCCTTTCCCTGTCCCTGTAATCATATATGAATATTTCGACTGTTTAACTATTGTGTCTGTTTCGTGGACCGGGAAACTGTTTTTTAAATAACGTCTTACTTATATTAGAAAATTGAGTAATGGAAAATCTCAAGATTATACGCTGTTCGCTTATAAATTTTATCATTTCTGCACTAAAAAACTAAAAGTATTAAAATTATTACTCGTTAACCACTTCAAATAAGCTAAAGGTGATGTGCTAAATTAAATTTACGACACTAGTGCGAATGCCAATTTCAAGCTATTGACAGTTATAGTTGAATAAAATTTTTGTAATAATGGCCATCAGACCCAATTTCGGTCTTGACGGTACCGTGTGGTAGTTTAGCAATATCCACTACCCCGCGGAGCGGCCGTGTGTGTAAAAGGCGACAGAGAGAAGCTGAAATAGGAGAAAAGCAGCCGCATCTTTCCGATAAAAACTCAAAATAATTTTAAAAAAACTGCGCTTCACAGTCCGCGTGCCAAACGTTGCCACGCTAAGGCATTTCGTGTTGCCTTCACTTTGAAGCTTACCACCTATTTTTTTATAAGAGAGGTGCAAAGGAGTTTACGGTTCAACTGATTTTAAGTGACTACCGCCGCCCATGAACATCTGCAACACCAGGGGAATTGCAGGTGCATTGCTGGCCTTTTAGAAAGGAGTAAGCTCTTTACTTCTATCAGGGTCTTCGTTTTGAGTAGCTGGTAGTCTTACGTTTAATTCCGCTACCATGCTGATGGAGGTGTGGGAGAATTGGGCCTCCGGCCACCTGCACTCACCAGACGAAACGCGGAAGTTGAGCTTCCACTTCACGCCGGTATTCTGTGAGGTCGTGGTAAACCCCGGTTTGAGCCGGCCCATACGTGCAACAGCAAAGCTGTCGCGTGGCTCTACCACTGTTATATGCGGAAGTATTAAAAATTATGAAAGCTAAATGCAACTCACAAAACCATGTAGTCCTGCAAGAAGATTTGAATTGGCTTAGCAGTTTGTGTAATAAAAACCATATGCCTAAAACCGTAAAGAAATACATATTCGATTTATAAGGCAAAAACACGTCAATTTTTCTTTACGATAAATAATACATAACAAAATACTTATCTTATCCGTGACTTAGGTGCTTTAATTGACAAAAAATAAAACTTGACACCCACTCATTGAGAATGACATTGTATAATAGATATAATTATTGGCTTTCTGATGTCGTATAAGCATTAGCTTAGCATCAATTTGCATTAGCATAATATTTCAATTCGATTTTTTTCTACACAGGTGAATAAAATAATTATTTATAACCTTTAAACTTAAGTTCATGCAATAAAGGAATTATAATTATGTGCAATTTGCCATTGCAATTTGCAAAGTCACTGTTAATTAAAAAAAACCTTTTTAAATACTTATTTATAATCATAATTCAGCATGCAATATCTTAATAATACCTTTTTTAAGATTATTTTGTAACAATCTAAAAGCCCCTTTATTGTAAAACAAAAATATACAAAGAAGGCTACAGAAGAGTTGTCACCCCTGAGGTCAAATATGGAATGACTCAAACCAGTTACTATACTGGCTCTCTTAGGTTGTACCTAAGGAATCTTACTACCTAGCTTTAAGAAATAACTGTTTTATTAATATCAGCTAGGGCTTGGATTTGGTCTGACACACCAGGCTAAAAGCATTCTAAAACTTTAATACTAGCTTTGACTGTAAATTCGCTTCATAAGTCCTTGGATTAACCAAAAATAAATTTCGCATTCTGGCAAGAGCTCTAACTGGACACTGTTGTCTTAAAAAGCACATATCCATCCTGGGACTAAGTAACTCAAGTAACTTAGTCCCAGGATGGATGGTAGGTTCTGTAACGAAAGTAACGTCTCTGCACATCCTAACTATTAGCGGACCCTTAATGTGCAAATGTAACACTCATCTGGGAAACTATGTACTCCGCCCAGAAGAAGTCAAATTGCTCACAGCTAAGCAACTCCTTCCATTCATTGAAGATATAGGGCTGCAGTGAACTATATCCATAGCAGCAATCACAATTGATCTTTTTTTCCGCAGTGATACTGGTCTCTTTCCCTAGATCTGCATAGCTGCTCGCACAAAATAAAATAAAAAGAGGGGTTGGATTACACGGGGCTTGGAAGTAAATCTAAGCTGGGCTAACTTTGACGCACAAACTATAAACCATTGACATATTATTCTATCAAAGTTACAGCCTATTCATTATATTAAAGTTACAGCCTGTATTTGTCCCATTGCTTGACACAGGCCTGAGAAATTCAGATGAAGATAAGATATACAAGAAAAACATGATGACATTTTAACAAACGTAATTTTAAATTCTTTTGTGGAAAAATTAGGAATTTTTATTTCATTTAGTTTGATAAAAGGTTTGAGTGTGCTTAAACCAACTTCCTACTATAGGGGAGCCCCTAACTTAAAGTGTTAGGGCATACCATATGTGGCAGTGGACTATTTATGATCTGATGATGATTTAAAATATATTTCATAAAATTTCTTTTATTCTTTTTAAGACAATGGAGTATCCAGATGGAATCGAAGATACTTACGAATCGATAGAAAGACACTATGCTGGTAAATCTGTTTTCATTACCGGTGGCACTGGATTTTTGGGAAAGGTATTATGTTACATTTTTTTACTACCCACTAAAATTTTGTCATTTATCATAAAGTTGCATTAAATACATAAATTGCACATGGACCATAATATTTATACAATAATTTTTGGACTGTACAAAAACTTGTTCTGTGCGGAATCTAACCTGGTAACCCTCAGCGTTACTGCTAAAATATGTACTACTGAGCCATCAGACATATTTTAGTTGAATTTTTTTTATATATTTGAATATAATCTTCATTGAAAATATATTACATACACAAAAAATTATAGTGACCAACATTATATTGATTATTTATATATGACATGTACTGATATCAAGATTCAGAAATTCGAATTGCTAGTTATTCCATTAAAAATCTATTTTCTTTTTCAGGTTTTCGTCGAGAAATTATTATACAGCTGTCCAAAAATAAACAAAATTTTTCTACTACTACGAAACAAAAATAAATCAGATATTTCAGAAAGAATTAAGCAATTATTGGAATTACCGGTGAGTTTTAAAACAAATAGAACTTAGCGAAACTATCTCCAGTTCATATTTACGCCAATTTTTAATTGAATTACTGGATGGCCACGTCAGTCATGATATTTACGAGGGCCACACTTAAAGTTTTTAGAACGGGCCATTTGTAAACGATATAATAAAATAAGTTCAGATTTTGAAAATAGAACACTTGTGTCGAAAAAATTTTGTACAATATTTTTTTATGACTTTTGATGTCATGTAAGTCAACAAGAAAGTTATGATAGATTTAGATTGGCCTTTCACTATGAAGCCCCATCTCGTGCCACTATTTGCAACTAGTTTAATGAGTTTAAACGTGGTCGTCGTGGTCGTAACTAATCTCACCGATGTTCCGCGTGATGGACGGCCTTCTACGGCGGCGACTGAAGATAACATCCGTGTTGTGCGGCGTTTGATGGAGACTGACAAAATAGTGACTTATTAGTAGTTTCAAACAAGCTCAGGCATCGGTATGAGTCATGTGCATAAAATCCTCCATGAACATTTTGCGCTCAGGAAACTTTGTGTCCGGTGAATACCTCATAATCTCAAGCTCTCAATCTCCTTCGTGTTAATTGGTATCGTGAAATGGTTCAAAGATTTAACGGAGATGACTCAAATTCTGTGTTAAACATACGGGTATTTACGGGTGACGAAAGCTAGATTTAATGCTATGATCCTGAAACTAAGAGAAAGTCTGCTGTCTGGGTGTTTCCTTCCAAGGAGTTGCCAACAAAAGTGAAGAGAGTTCGAAGCGTGGGAAAAAAGATGGTGACCTCTTTCTTCGGAAGGACAGGTCATTAGGCAACAATTGTTTTAGTAGATCGAAAAACGGTTACTACAGAGTGGTACACTAACAATTGTTTACCACTTTTCTTGGAAAAAGTTCGGGACAAATAACCTCGCAGTAGAATCCGTCTTCACCACAACAACGCCTCGTCGCACACCGCCAAGCCAGCATTGGACTACTTGGCGACGTCAGACGTGGAATTACTGGGTCGCCCGCCCTATATCCCCGACCTCGCACTTTGCAATTTATATTTTTTTTCCGAAAATAAAAGAAATTATTGAGGAAAACGTTTTATGGACGCCGAGAAAGCAGAGGCTGTATTTCAAAATACCGTCGAAGAGATTCCTAGGGACGAGTGGGCAAAGTGCTTTTCTAAGTGGTTCCATCGGACGCAGCGATGTAAAGATGTAAATGAACACAATTTTGAAAATATATAATAAAAATGATAAGTTGCTAGTTTGTTCAGTTTTTGATTTTTTAAGAACTTTCAGTGTCACCATCGTACTCGTATCAAGGATTCCACATTATCATGCAGATGATACACTCAGGCAGTGCCGTATGCCGTCGACGGTGAAAGAAAATTCAGTACCATACTATATAAATATTATCTAATGCGTATCCTAAGCTATATAAGAAATTCCATATCGATGTCAATCTTCTACTTTTAAATCTTCACCTCGTGATCGTCATTACAACCCTTCACAAGTCCACAGCTGAACATAGGTCTAAAATTAATGCTACAAAAGCTACAGCTACTAAATTGTATTGAACTTCAGCTTTGATTGTATTCTATTTTTTCCCATCCTATAAATAGCATAAAAGGACCATTTAACATCACAATGTGAACCCAAATGTACACCGGCTGTGCCAATATCTCTCGAGAAAACATCTCCGAGTACCGGGACAAACTTGTGTCTGAATTTGAGTCTTAGGTGAACAAAGTCTTAGATTGAGGGGACTAAATCTAGTCCAGTTTAACCCTCAGAAGATACAAATTAACGCGTTAACCGCTAAAAAGAAACTCTTTATCGTATCTCCTCAGTTTCAAGGCACTCTCCTTGTTGCCTCAGCGAGTATCGGAATCCTCGGCGTCGACATATCGAGTGACGTGCAGTTTCGTGGTCACTTGGAAGAGAAGGCTATATTGTTTTCTAAAAAGCTTGACGTACTCAGTATAGTGGGACAGTATTCCATGCCGGGACACCGCCTGCAACTTTACAAGGCACAGGTTAGACCGCACGTTTTGCGGTTCACGCGGTTTCCAAAAAGGCTTAAGCACAATAGACCACACACATACCCTTCAGCAAATTATATAGAAGTCTAAAAAGTACAATCTGCCAGTTTGCCTGGCGTATGTGGACTATGAGAAAAGCTTTGATTCCGTCGAAATTTGGGCGGTGCTACAGTCTCTTTAGCGGTGCCAAGTTGACCAACGGTATATCGAATTGCTGAAGTATTTGTACACTAGGGCTACGATGGCTATCCGAGTACAGAATCTGAGTACGAAAGCTATCCAACTGCAGAGAGGTGTAAGACAGGTTGACGTTATATCCCCGAAATTCTTCACCGTTGCATTGAGAGACGTTTTCAGGCTACTGGACTGGTAAGGATACGGTATTAACAGTACATCACTCACCTTTGATTTGCCGACAATATTGTCTTTATGGCACAATCGCTGGAGGATCTTAACACTATCTTCAATGACCTCAGTAGTACCTCCGAACGGATTGGTCTTAAGATGAACATGGATAAAACAAATATCATGTTTAATGTCCATGTCACACCTATGCCGATAGTTGTTGGGAGCACTATGCTCGAAGTTGTTGATGAGTACGTTTACTTGGGGCAAATAGTCTGACTAGGTAAGTCCAACTTCGACCGAGAGTTCAATCGACGGACTTAATCTGCTAAAGCTGGGCAGTATTTGGGAAATTACGACACATCTTCTCGTCAGGTATACCTCAAAATCTGAAAACGAGATTATAAAACCAGTGCGTGTTGCCAGTGATGACCTATAGAACTGAGACGTGGTACTTCACTGCTGGTTGTATGAGGACACTAGATGGAGTGACGACCTGGTAAGGCAAAAAGGAAGTCGATGGATGCGGGTGACTCAGGACCGTGCTTTGTAGCATAACTTGGGGGAGGCCTATGTTCAGCAGTGGACTTGTGAAAGGGCTGTAATGATGATCATGATGATGACTGCCGCAACAAGATAAGTTTTGATGCGACCGATGAATAGTCCTCAAATGAGTTGTAACGTAGTAGTTCATAGTGATAAGTATTTTATTAAGCCGGTTATTTTAAACAAAGTATAGAATCACGCTTATGAAGACTAGAAGGGTATTTCTTTTTCCATTTAAATTTTACTTTTTGAATCATGTAATTATCATGGAGAATGGTGCATGAATCTTAAGCTTGGCCTAAGAATTTTATGCATTAAAAATTTTCCTGATAGCAATTGCATCGACTTTAATAGTATATCAATATCTTATTAAGTTAATAAATTTAGTGAACAATCTGAGAGAATATTTCTCTATAGGTATAGGCATTCGCTTCCTATTTTACTTCCTCATTAATTTTCCTGGATTCGTTGCATACGAGAGAATAATCTTGAGATTTTATGATGTTATTTATGAGGCAAAAAAGGGATACATATATTAAGTTTGTGGTTATTGAATGCCACCAAAATTCTTAAGGTATTATAATATTGTTGTAGTGTTATAACAATGTAGAAGTATTTTAGCTTAATATTTTTGCAAAACAGCAAAGTGAAAATTAAAACAGTACTCGCCTTATATTTAAAAAAAATATTGGGCTGTTATTTATATTAAAATATGGTTAAAATGTTTTGTCTTTTCTAAAGATCCATGTAGTTTTTTGACCAAAGCAATATCCAACCTCCTATAATTTGATTACTTGAAATCAGAAAATGATGTTTCAGTATTAATTTAGATTCAAAATTATTATTCTTTTTCTTCAGAAGAAAATGGAGAAAGAAAACCTAATAAAATTTAAAATGTTTTGCATACATTCTGGACAAGGAGATATTAATTTGCCTATTAAATTAGTAAATGTTCTAAATGTAGTAGTGGGTTGTAATTAAATTATTGACTTTTATAAAATTTATATTTTAGGTATGAAAATGCAATAATTTTAAAGGCCAAGTAATTTTAATTTATTTTTGAAGTAGTTTTTTTTTATTTAATATAAAAGTCAATTAACGGTAAAATTTAGACTTTTGCACCCTTTATTTTCTGAATTTCTTCATCTTAAATACCAACAAATAATTTAAAAATATTCAGCAATTGTTTTTTTTTTTAGAAATATTAGTAATCCTATTAACATTACCAATATTCCCTTTAACCACTCCTGGTAAGCTGAAAATGCTTGTATTAGGACTGGTTCACAACAGTGATCGAATGGTGGATTCCAACCCGCGACCTTTTGAGTTCGCGGTCCCCGCCCTGTCATTAGGCTACTGTCGCTTCGAATTGTTAAAGTACGAGAACAAAAAATTAGTTTTCATTTTGAGAGTTTAAAGAGCAATTTTCCCTTTAGTTTACATTTTGGGAGTTTAAGAGGCAATTTTTTTTAGTACTAGATTTACTGATAAGTTTGTGAAACAGAATCTTTATCTTCTTCATCACCTGAGCAAATAATTTGTCTCCCCTTTCGTCCCGAAACTGAATTGAGAGATTCCGAAAATTAATGCCTCTTGTACAAGAGAGTATATTTATTTTTTCCATTAAACTGGAGATGTGAATTTTACTGCCGCACCCATACAGCATATAAATTTTCCAATGTGGTAATAATTAATCAAATTATAATATATAAAAAAAAATATTCACAATTGCTTTTACAGATATTTGATAGAATTAGAAAAGAAAAACCGGAAAACCTTGAAAAGGTTGTGCCTTTATCCGGAGATGTAGCTCTACCTAATCTTGGCATGAAACAGGAAGATGAACAGATGTTGATAGATCAGGTAATAAAACAATTTTACAAGTCTTAGTTAATAAGACATTATAAGATGTAATATTTATATTTGACTGTCAAGGGTTGGTTTCCACGACTTTAACACATAGTATGTATTTGGCACGTACTATTAACAGGCATATATAGCATACATAAACAAGCAGGTAGCAAGTATTGGGTGCGTGTAGCCGAAGATTGGGCACAGGTGCTTTCTGAAGTTTGGGTCCAATTATAGTTAAGAACTATCCAAGATACCACAAAAGTACTTGATCTCAGCAGTATAAAAAATAGTTCAAATTTTGATAGTTTAAAAGACAATTTTTCCTTTAGTACAAGATTTTATTTCATTTATTTCACTTATTTTATTTTTAAATCTTTTCTTTCGCGATTTAAACTATATTTTCTTTTATTCAATTACACTGAATGTTGATTGCTAATATATATAGATTGTATGTCACCAATTTCATGACCTTTGAATCGTTATCATGTTTTAAGTTCATTGCATTTTAGTCAATGTCTGTAATCACGACATTCAGTCGGAGAGAATAGAATGGAATAGAATACAATGATAATAATTCAATTAGCGATCCGCCCTGGCTTCGCACGAGTGATTTCTGTATCTTGACAACACCACTACCTAGCGAGTCCAAATGTGAATTGAAACCATCATGGGACCCATTAAAACCAAAACAAAAAAAATGTCAACAAAATCGGTCGAGCTGTTTATGGCTTTTAGCGAGACTAACGTAGAGGATTCGATATTTATGTATACAGATAGATCATTAAATAATACTTATTGCAAGTCCTTTTTTGTTTACCACTAGTTCGGAAAATATCTCTGTTCTAAGAAGAACCAGCAAAAAACTCAGCGGAAAGTAAATATACTCGTAGAAATATGTTATTAACTTTCATAAACACGAGTACTGCTCCACATAAATAATGCCTAATACCCAATACTCGGATAGAACTATTAATATATAATAAAATACTCATCTAAATCTAATACTTAATGCAAGAATATATCTAACCTTGACTTTCGATTATTGATTTTTGGCTCTCTGATTAAAGTGGCTTCTAAAGTTGAAATTCATACTTTTTGTCGAATGCAAACTATTTAAGATGTTGCGTTCCGCTTATTTTTAATACAAATATTAAACGATTAAAGCGAAATTAATTTATTTCAGGTATCCTACATATTTCATTTTGCGGCAAACGTTAAATTTAACGAAACATTAAATGTGGCAATGAATATCAACGTAGAAGGAACAAGAAGAGTGCTCAAGTTGTGTCAGCGCATGAAAAATATCAAAGTAAGTAAAATATCAGCCATCAAAATAATTATATGAACAGAAACGACTATAGCGTTGACCCCAACAGAGTAGGGGTTAATCTAATACCAATTTTAATAATACACAGCAATTTATTTTACATTTGTATAGTAGTAAATCCCACAAGAAACATAGTTCAAAAGTTCAGTACACACCAAGTTCTAAATTTTAGACTTCGTCGATAAAAGAGTTGAAATCTAAACAGGTACTAAGATGAAGCATTCCTAAGAACGTTGTACATTCCTATTGATATAAAATATGACATAAGAGTGACTCGAAAGCATACGTGTAAATATAAGTACTTTTTTTAGGATAACGGTGACAATCGGGCGTACAGTCCACCTGATAGTTGCTGTGACACATAGACATCGAGATCTTTCCTCGATTACGAATCAAAATGAAGATGTGTTGTCCACTCTTGAGGACTAAGATGGTATGCCTCGTTTCCACTAAAAAGGGTCTCCGGTTCCCTACCATCAACATGCAAAACACAGCAGTATTAAGCTACTATTTTACACCCGGTATTCTGCGAGAGCGTGGTCCTCCTCTAGTCAAATCTACTTAGTCGTCTTACAACTATACTACTAATATAGTTCCAGAATGGCTTTACCACATAATAATGCCAGAACGTCGGACATTTCTTTCCTAAACTTGGCGGACAAACCGCCATTTATCTTAAATATAAACTAACTCCGTTTCTATTTCATTGTTCATAACTAAAACTTTAATTTGTACCTTTTTTAATTTGATTAGCCCGTAACAGATCACATTCTCCGTAATTGCTACGGTTGAAGGAGAATGCTCGATCCCGGTAAAAGAAGTCTCACGTGTTTAACTCTGCTCTTCGTTGCTAGTGTGGATATTTTGTCATTTATAACTGACAAATTAAAATAACATACAAGTGTATATATTAAATCTGTATAGCTTACTTGTTTCAAAGTACCTGTTATTTATTTAGGTAATTGATAATTATTTTATACGTGATACAGCCATGTTGCAGCTATATCAAGGTTGTAACACGAATGGGTTGGATCGACCGGGGAAGTACCACGCTCTCACAGAGTACCAGCGTAAAATAGTAGCTTAATGCTCCTGCTGTGTTTTGTATATTGAACGTAGAGACCCTTTTACCGGAAACGAGGTATTCCATTGTAGTACTCAATGGTGACACATAATGCATTTTGAACAATATCGTGCAAATATGTTAGGTTTCCCTCATTCGGCTCTATTCGTAACTCTCACTACACTACCAAAGGTAGTTAACCTTTTGTTGGCAGAGAATGCCTTTTCAGTATTAAGTTTGCCTTTGTACCACTTTTTTATTTGAGTGCAATAAAGAATTTTCAATATATTTATTTATTTTAACGACAAACCACACTAGTTACTATATTAGTAATAGTACACATACGTGTTTCGAATAATTAACGTTTTACCTATTATTAATAATTAGCAACTCGTTCCGGGTTCACCTGGGTAGTGTTTACTAATACGGCGTTGTTTAGATTTATGATTATTTTAATATTATTTACAATATTTTTGATTTCGAAAAGTCTCCAAGTGTTTCGAATGAAATACATCAAAGATCAATGCCGTCAATCCGTTCGTCAAGTTTATAACAATCGGTTCATCCAATCCGAAGATTAGCTCGGACAGACAGACTAAAATTTTAAAAATTGATAACAACGTTCGAAGTTTACAAAACTTTTAAAAATTGATAACAACGTTCGAAGTTTACAAAACAACGAATAGATGCGTGTGAGCAGTCGAGTCGAATGCACACGTTTAGCTGCATATTATTACCGCGTTATTTTCACTTCCAACCCACATAATAATTATGTTTATTTTAAATGGATGACATATGTTGTATAATGATTTCTTATATTTACGCGAACACTACACATTGACACAGAATCAATAATATTACTACGTACAGAAGTTGCACTCATTTTATGTCAACTGCTTGCCGACGTTTAATAGCCTACATAATTATTACTTATCAGATAAATCGCGCACGCAAGCTAAATAAAACATTATCGCTGCGCGCTAGTGTCCATATTACTTTGCATCTTTTCCGCTTCCTAAGTCATAGCGGACTTTCTGTGGTTATTAGGGGATCTTATGGGATGGGATTATCTATTAAAATTAGGATGTTTTTTTTAATTTCAATAGCCTTATGTATCATCCTTGGTAGGAATAGATGTTCTTTCGCGAGGATTTATGTTCTATCAAATCTGATGTAGTGACTGCGGCTGTCTGTCATATTCACACACTGAAGATTTCCCGGAATGCTGATACTTCACTTCTGCTATGGTTTATTTACGTAGGTTCTAATTGATCTTTTTGTTTGCCCTCATATATGAGAAATCAAATTCACAATCAAGCTTGTTCACTCCTGCATATTGTAGAGGAATATGATAGAGGAATATGACACTTAACGAATGATAAAAACTGACTATTCTTCGGTAGCTTGTAGAATGTGCTAATAGAAGCTTTCTTCAAGATGCAGCCAATCTTGTCTGTGACACCTCTGACATATGGTAGTACAGCTGGCACACGCTTGACTGTGGCTGGATTCACTCGGTCACTGTGACGTGGGCGCGGGACCCGAAGCTTGTTGTCGTGCAGAACCTGCTTGACATGCTGAAGCTCGGCGGTCAGGTGTTTGCTGTCACAGATCCCTCGTGCTTTCTGTAACAAAGATTTGCCTACGGTAGTTAAGTGTGAAGGATGGTGGTGAGATTCACCGTTTAAATATCGGTTTGACTATCACATCTAGGAATTATTTCCCTCTAACTCCGTAGTAAATTTTATTTTAAAGTTTACGGAATTATGGAAAAATGCATTAATTTTGTCTGATGGTAAAATTGTGAAAGTATAGTCTACGTATCGCTTGTAGAACCTTAGAGTATCAGGTGCAGTAAGGAGGGATTTCTCCTCAGTCTTTCATGAATATATCGGCGACAATAGGAGATACAGGTGAGCCCATCACAAAACCATCTACTTGCTGGTAAAACTCTTCCTTTCACAATAGATAGCCAGATGTAAGGCAATATCTGAGTAGTACTGCATATTCTGCTGGCATATTATTTTCCTCTTGTTTCCTAGTTATAATTGACTTCAAGACGTAGGCATGTAAATAGAGACTGAACATCAAAACTAACCATGGTTTCATTGTTAGTAAGGCGTAGGTCTTTTATCTCACTGAAAAAATGGTATGAATCCTTAGTGTGTGCTCTTCTGTGTCCTCTGAGTGGTGATAATATTTTGGCTATGTGTCGAGCCAATCTGTAAGTTGGCGAATCAATCTGATTGACTATTAG